TTTTTCTGGGAAAATGATACACAGCAAGAGTACTGAGGAAGGATAGATGGGGCATTCCTAGCAGAGGGAACAGTACCTGCAAAGGCCCTGTGGCAAGTCCCAGGGTCTGCAGGAAGGCCTGAGTTATCAAAGCTTAGAAAGCATGAGGTGTTTGCAGTGGGTAAGAAAAAAAGGACAACCAGGAACTGGAAACTGAGTACTGGGACTGCCTTGAGGCAGTGACACTTTCTCCCAGGCAAGCAAGCCAGGAAAGTTGGCTTCGGATGGGGGAGGGTCCCATTGAGGGCCTGGTACCTGTAAAAAGCTGGGAGGTAGGGCTGGAAGTTAGGTGCAAGATCTGGCAGGAGCTAGTAGGGATTTGGGGCTCTGTGCACAGCGGTGGTGTGGGAGGTGGGGCCTTGCCTTGAGGAATGGTAAGGAGAGAAGAATGCAGACCAGTTACCTGAGAGCTGGAGAGGGGCTAGATCGTTCAAGAATCTCCAGGAATAGGGGCTGGTCAGCACGCCAGGGCTGCAGAGGGTGCAGAGCTGGTGGTGACTGTTTCATATCAATCATCTCACTAGCCCTGAGGCATATCACTCCCATCTTCTGGATAAGGCAGAAGTTGCTAATCAGTGACTCCTACCCCTGGGAGAACTCTGAGGTCAGCCTCAGAGAGTTAGGAGTTGGGGGCCAGTAGATTCCACAGGTGCAGGCATTGCTGGAGACTGTTGGCTCCACGGCTCACTCTGGTGGCCTTTAACCCAGGGCTGTTCTTTGCTCATAGTTGCAGAGTCTGGAGCAGGAGAAAGGGCGCTGGCGGGTGGAGAAGGCCCAGCTGGAGCAGAGTGTGGAGGAGAACAAGGAGCGGATGGAGAAGTTGGAGGGCTACTGGGGTGAGGCCCAGAGCCTGTGCCAGGCCGTGGACGAGCACCTGCGGGAGACTCAGGCTCAGTATCAGGCCCTGGAGCGCAAGTACAGCAAGGCCAAACGTCTCATCAAGGACTACCAGCAAAAGTATGTGTGAGGAGCTTTGCGTCTGGGCCCAGGCAGGATGGAGAGGCCCTTCAGTGGTAGTCCCCACCCCAGCCTTCCTCCAGCTGAGTAGGGAGATAAGGAGTAGAGAAGTTAGAGGGCACCATGGTGGGGTACCTGAGCTGGAATGGCTGAATACCAGACCCAGGCCCTAGTGACCTTGGGAAAACCTCCTCCTCCCTGGACCGAAGCCACACCATAAACCCTAACCCACCATCTGTTCCTCGCCTGTCTCCAGGGAGATCGAGTTCCTGAAAAAAGAGACTGCCCAGCGTCGGGTACTGGAAGAGTCGGAGCTAGCTAGGAAGGAGGAAATGGACAAGCTTCTGGACAAGGTAGAGCCTGGGTGCCCTGAGCAGCCTCCAGAGGGAGCAGCATAGAAGCCAGAGTCAAAGAACGCCACTCTGCTCTTGTTTGGGAAGGACTGTATTGCTGGCCACCCAGCTTAGGGTCAGAGCTGGGAGGTGGGGGCAGGGTCCACGCTCAGTGGCCAAGCCTGATGCCCCCTGTCTTTGTATTCTAGATCTCAGAACTGGAAGGAAACCTGCAAACACTGAGGAATTCCAATTCTACTTAACCGGAGTCACTCCTTGACTGGACAATAATAATCCCCTCCCATTATCCTCACCCTCCCTGTCCTCAATCCCCACCCCTCCCCTACCAGCCTGGGGACAGGTGCCCCGACTTCCCACACTCCTCCACCCCACCTCCCTCAGCTTCAGGGACCAGAGGGCCCATACTACAGGCCCCTTTAGGGTGGCCCGGGCAGACAATGGTGGCTGGAAGAGTGGCCTCCTTGTTCTATGGGGCTGAGGTACAGAGGCCGAGTGAGAGAAGCTGACCTGGGTGGTGGATGGACACAAGGACCTGCAGACCAAACTGCCAGACTTTACAACCTCCAGCCTGTGTCTCTGGACCGGAGTGGAGCTGGGGCTGTCCCAGCATCTCACCACTTGGAGGCTGCTCCCTGCCCACCGGGCCCATGTGGCCCCTGGGCCTCTAGACTTGAGATTCTACTTTCTTGGCCCTTTTCTCTTCCCTACCATTGTGCTGTCTGTTGCATTCTGGCCTCCTGCTTGGAGGGGTTGCCTCAACATCTCCCACCCCTGCTCCCCATCCCAGGAGGGATAGAGCCCACCCTTGAGCCAGAGGCTGGGCCTGGTCCTGCACTGATTTCTCATGTATCCTTGGTGGGGTGCGGGGAGAGCCGGAGTGGGCAAGAGGATGAGTCCAAAACACCTGGAATCCGGCCCCCCTTTCCTAGGAAGGGCAACGGCCCTCAACTTCTCCTTGTGCCTCCCCTCTCCCAGGTGCCAAATAGCCATAGCCTCCTCCTGGAACTGTCCTGAGGCCACTCTGGGGTTCAGGGTTCCTTGGTCTAGCCTAGGAATGCCAGGAGGGAGGGAGGCCAGCTTAGGTGGTGGGCCTGCAGAGCCCTCACTAGGGAGCTAGGCCCAGCCCAGGGCCACACCTGGAAGCCTTGTTTTACCATCAAAGAAACTCAGCCTCCCCTCCTCCCCTCCCCCACTGTTTTCCAATGTTTTCACTGGAGGGCAAAATTTTACTAATCTTTTTGGAGACCAGGGCTGCTTGCCGTCAGCCTGCTTTCTAAGTGAAATTGACTCAGTTTCCCCACTTTAACCCCAAATTGGGGCTTGGACCAAGGGAGGTGAGACCTACCCCCTCAGGTACCCTCCCCTTTCAAAATCCATCTCATTTTGCCACTTCCACAACCCCTGCCCCAAGCCTAGGTTTCTGTTCGTTTTTTTGTTTTTAAACAACCCTGTTCTGTCCTTTTTGGCTTCTCCTAGACCCCTGTAAATAGACCATACCATCAATCAGTATTTCTTGCCCCTCTCCCGCCCCTAGACGTTCCCCGACTCCCCGGAAAGAGCTGGCTGTCACAGTGCCCGGCCCCTGCACTTCACCTAGGCAGATGGAGGGGGCGGAGCCGGGTGGGCGGGTCCTCGATGTACTTCCGGTTTTGACCGGCAGCGCTCTTGCCCCGCCCTTGGAGGACCCCCGTCTCTGTATATAATATATATATGTATGTATTGTTCCTGGTTTTGTACGGACCATGCCCTCTGTCAGGTCGTCCCCATAAAAGCAGCCCCCAGAGCCTTGCTGCCTGGTTTCTTGATGCGCTGAAAGGGGGAGAGGGAGGGATACTAGAAGTTCCCCACCTTTTTCTAGTTTTGCCCAGGACCTAGAGATGATCTCAGTGCCAGTTTAGTTCTCCAGCCCATCTCAGCAAACTCGCTTGCCACCATTGCCCAGCTTTCGTGGGGTCTCTAGACAGTTTTTCAGGTCTCCCTTTCACAAAGTCTTTCGAGCAAGCCAGAAGATGGACTGGAAAACAACTCCTCTCCCCTGAGAACTGAGCAGTCTGCAAGACCCCCGAGGTCTCCTGTGAAGTACCAGGAGGACCAAAGATTTCTTAGGGTGACCTAGGAGGTAACTTTCAGAGCATTGTTGTCCCCAAGGTCACAGAGAATGTTCTTTGGCCCTCCTGGGCTGGCTTGAGAGGCATCATATAGTCCTATCTGCCCTATTAGCTAGGTCCCAGTTCCAGGGACAAGTTTTGGTGAGTTCCAGGAGAGAATGTAATGAGCCCTGGAGTATACAGCACAGCCTTTTCTTGTCCAGGGGCTGGGAGGCAATCTTGTGCTTTAGTAGCTTGGACCCCGGGCGAGTCTCATCTTCCCTTCTTGCGATAAGAAACAAAAGTCCCGGCCGGGCGGTGGTGGCGCACGCCTTTAATCCCAGCACTCGGGAGGCAGAGCCAGGCGGATCTCTGTGAGTTTGAGGCCAGCCTGGACTACCAAGTGAGTCCCAGGAAAGGCGCAAAGCTACACAGAGAAACCCTGTCTCGAAAAACCAAAAAAAAAAAAAAAAAAAAAAAGAAAAAAAAGAAACAAAAGTCCCAGTCTCCAGATCACTTTGCTTAACCCCTGACAGCACCAGAGATGAGTGGTCTCCACAAGAACTTCCACTAACAGCCCCTGAGGCAGCCTCTCCCAGCGGGTAATTCTGTCACAGAACTTGTTCCTGACAAGCCAAATAGTGGCTTCCTGTTAACTACCCTCAAAACTGGTTCTGCACCTCAGGGCCATATAAGTCCTGCACAGCTCTGACACCTACCTCACAGTCATCCGGGAACTAGCAATGGCGGTGGCCTCTCAGGACATTCCCTCCCATCGGGCCATCCTTGGAACATTGGGAGCCCTGGGGATGCTGCAGGTAGATCCAGGCGGGGTTGACTTCCATAAGAGAGTCCCTAAACGAGGTCTCGGGTCGTCATGCCTAGGTTAGATCATCATCCCTGAACCAGAAACCTACCAAGTCCCCGCTCAGGAAACCTTGCCAAGAAATGAAGCAGCTGGGCTTATTGGGTGGGGGGGACAAATGGGTTTGTGATAAGGTCTCGTCTGACAGGCCAAGCAGCGTCTAAAGGGGAAGACCTGTGGCCTGTACCTACCCTGTGTACTTACTATGTGAGGAGGGGACCTCTACTAGGTGTTCAAGGGGATGGTTAGATAGCACTTCGTGTTTGAGTGTGTCGTATGGCTGGGGACCTTGTGTATGGCTTTTCTGGGAGTTTGTCAGGCCTGAGCTGTGACTTACACACGAACTAAGTCCATTTGGGGGGCTGTCAAGGGTGTGCGCAGACTGTGATGCTTGTCCTCTTAACCCCCCAACTCATCCACTCCCGTCATCTATCGAGTCCTGGGAATTTGAGCACATCTGTCACCACCCCAACATTTGCCTCAGAGGAGGGATATCAAACGGATATTCCCAGATCCCAGCGCCTCAGGCCTGAGTAGGAAAAGGGTCCCGTTCTGGCACTGAGACACACACACCTCCTATAAAGACTCTCAACCTGTGGGTCGTGACCCTTTTGGGGGTCAGACAACCCTTTCACAGGGGTCACCTAAGGCCATCAGAAAAAAAAACATTTACAATTCGTAACAGTAACAAACTTACAGTTATGAAGTAGCAACAAAAATAATTTTATGGTTGGGGGTCACCCCAACATGAGGGACTGTTAAAGGGTCTCAGCGTTAGGGAGGTTGAGAACCACTGTCCTAGAGTCTGCCTGCACAGGTGGTCACCAGAGACATTTCCTCCACATGACTCTACAGTCTAACCAGACTTTCAGCAGAATTCTAAGATACCCAGAGGTCCTCCAGCTCTGAGATGCTCTGAGCTCCATTGATACGTCCTCGCTCAGTTCTAGGGAACTCTTGGCTCACCACGCTGCTGCCCACCCTTGGCAGTCCTCCATTCCCATGAGCCATCAGGCGTTCTCCAGCTCTCTGGACTGTACAACTCGCACTAAGGTCATCACTTGCTCCTGAGCAAACCATTTTCTATTTGAGTCTCTGGCCTGCGTATCTTAGAGGACAAGAGAAGCCCCTACCTTACGTTTAATTGGGAGGGCGATGTTAAAGAATCTGAGAAATACGCCTGGTACTTGGTACCTGGTCCCAAGTACGCCCTAAGTCTTGCTGCATGGTAGGTAGCTGGTGATCACACCCACCGCCACCATCTCAGGCCCACCAGGTCTAAGTCTGAGCTCATCCACCCCATCCCCTTACCCCCTAGCTCCAGAACTGCCAGGCCCCCAGCCAAGACCCACAGCCATCCTAGACCCCGCCTTCTCTCAATTCTTTGTCCAGCCGGCTCCAAACCCTGTCTGTGCCTTCAATTCTACAGTCAGAATTGCTCTCAGCTTGATCTTTAATCTTCATGCCCACTGCTGTCATCTTCCAGCAATCCCTTGAGGCTGGCGCCAGACTTCCGGCTGCCCCCTGCAGTCCATTCTCCACTGGGGTGCCCAACGAATTTTCCTAAAATGCATGTTGAAGCTCCTCCCTCCTAGGTTAGCCTTTTTGGGGGTGGAGGGCGGGGTGGGTAGCAGAATGAATCAACCCTCCAGCTCCAGCTCATTTTCCCCGCTGGTTCATCCACCCAGCAGTGTTCATGAGCAAGTCTCCCGTAGCCTGGCCTGCAGTAGCCACACACCTCTAGGAATCCTCCCTGTGCCCTACTCCAGTGCCTCGGGTGCACGCCCCCTCCAGAACTTGAAGTGTCTTTTTCGTTCCGGCACCCACAGCTTTCAGTCTTGGGAAATCCCACTGGGCTGAACCCCGACAGCACTGGACCAGGTCTGTTCTGTTCCACGGTGGTCCCCGTCCAGCTTCCGCGCCCAGGCTGGCTGCTCAGCGGATGCTTGTTGAATCAAAGAACGAGAGAATTAGGGCCCTCACAGACCCTGCAGAGGAGGCGGAAAGCCCCGTGCCTCCCGAAGCGGACCGCCCCCCACCCCCCCACCCCCCCCACCCCACCCCTGTCGCTCCGCTGCCACTCGCCCGCTCCTAGCGCGCAGACTCCCTAGCGCCGCGTCTCCGCCGGTCCAAGAAGTAGCGGCGCAATTGGGATCCCGGGCCCCGCCGCGGGCACCCGCCGCCTCCTCCCCGCGGTCCTTGCGGCCTCCGCCCCGCCTCCTTCTTCTCCCTCCCTCCCTCCCGCTCTTTGTCTCCCGGGCGACCGGCATCCCCACAAGCGCCCCCCGCATTGCCTGATCCCAGGCGACCCCCACGGACCTAGCCACCGCGACGCTGCACAAATCCGCCTGTGGCGCGAGGGTCCTAGATCCGCGGGGCTTGGCGGGGGCGGGGCGGGAGGTGGCTCTCTGGCTCTCAGGCGCTCGCTCTCTCTCTCTCTCTCTCTCTCTCTCTCTCTCTCTCTCTCTCTCTCTCTCACACACACACACACACACACACACACACACACACACACACACGTACACACGTACACGCACGCACACACGGAACATCCTCCCGCCGTCAGGTTTCCCGGTCCAGCCCCGCCCGCGCCTCCTGCTTCCCGCAGACCTTTCTCCCTGCATCCCTACACACCTCGCCTCTCCATTCTTTCCAGCTCTGGGACCCTCCCCTCCGATCCCCCCCACAACACTCTGGGATGGAGCGACTCGAGCCCGCCCGGAGCCCCCCGCGGCCGGGGTGAAAGTCCTCCGCCCCTCTCCCGCCCGGTACTCGCCTCGAGCACCATGGGCCTGAGGGGTTCCCGGGGCGCTGGACGCTGAAAATGACGGATGCTGGAGGTGAGGGGCCGGGACCCCTAGGGTGGAAGGGGAAGCGGGGCCAGAGACTGCTGGACTCAAGGTGAGACCCCCGCAGGGTGGCTAGATGAATATAAGCCACAAGGGCCTTTCTTCCTCTATCCCTAGGGAGACCTCACTGGACTGGGGAGCTGGGCTGTCGGGAGGAAACTGAAATAGGATTTGTGTCCCTAATCCCCTTCCTCCTGCCTGAGGAAATTAATTTTTAAAAAAGAAAAGAAAGAGAAAAAGAAAGAGAAACTGGTGTGGGGGCAGGGGGAGAGGCCTTAACTCCTTCCTACCCGGGCAGTTGGGCCGGTGGGTTGGAGAAACCCTCTGTGATTAGGGAGAGGGGACTCTATGATTGGAGTAGGTGCCCTGTCCCCCAAACCCATCTTCCGTGGCGCTTTGATGGGTTGTCAAACTCCTGAGGACCGCTCCAAGCCTGGGCTGGCTGAAGGCTGGTGCCATGGGAGGGGCACGGCCTCCGTGGCTCTACAACTGCTTCCCCCATGCCAGCCTGCCGGGCACCCACTTCTGCGACTTGTCAGCTGCCTCTCTCCCTCCGTCTCCCTTTCCCTCTCCCCCTCTCTCCCCTCTCTTCTCCTTGGGCCCCCTCCTCGCCTCTGGCTTGTGGGGCAGGGTTCTGTTCTTCTCTCACCCCATGGTGGGGCCTCGGGGCTGCCCAGCTGCTTTTCCGGAGCCTCCTGGGTCTGCTCTTTCTTGAGCTTTCTTCTCAGCTCCCTGTGGGCTGGCAGTCTCCACCTCTGGGTCCGCTAGTTGCTCCTTCTGCTCCAGTCCCAGGTTGTATACCTTTTGTTTTGCTTCTCCTTCCCCTGGGCTCCAGGTGGCTTGGAAAGCACCTGCCTTTCCTTTTCCCAGAGAAAGGTCAGAGGTCACTAAGGGTCCTCTAGGAACTGGTAGCTGTTGGGGAAGGGAGTGGTCTGGTGACAAGGAACCCAAAGGTTGTCCAAGGGAACAGGTTCGTTTGCACCCTTGTGTAGCTGAACACCTGTGAGTGACAGGGTGTGTGTAGGAGTGAGAGGCTGGGTGAGGCTGGGTATCTAATTTTCCAAGGCTGGGTTTTGGGTGGCTGGGGCAGGTGATCTCCCGGGTATTACGCTTCCATGGAGTTTTCACATGGGATAGTGCAGAAAGCCCCCTGCTCCTCTGCAATTGTAGGAGCTGGCCATTAAAGACAGAGATAAATAAAGCAGTTTGTGCTGAATCAGGATGGGCTGAGAGTCTGAGCTGGAGGCCCCAGTCCACCCAAAGGGGCTAAAACAGTCCTCGGTGCACATCAGGAGCTCACCCCTGGACTGGAGCCTTCAATAAAGAACATGGCCTGGCCTTCTCCGTGTTGTCTGCAGAGAGCAGCCATTCTGGTGGGAAAAGCAGCTCCTGTCCTGAGTCTCTAGTCTGAGAGGAGAGCACATGGCTCATCTGAGAAGGAGAGATAAGACCCAAGCAGGAAACCAGTAAAGTATGAAAAGGTCTCCATTCCTCGGGGATTGGGGAAGTGGCTTTCAAACAGTGTAGACAAGTGGGGGTTGAGGGGTGGGGCGGGGGGGAGCCCAACCTAAGACAACAGTCAGGAGAAGGGGCAGCTGGACCCTAGTCAGAGCAGGCTTTGTGATCCAATGAAGAGAGATAGTTTATGTTGAGGGCCAACCTATGTTCTCATCTGGCCTCCCGGGCCAGGAAGGAATATTCTAGATCTTGGCTACTAGTTCTCAGAGTTCAAGGATGGCAAAGGGGTCCTTGCTGAGCCATTGCTGACCTCTCCCATATGGCATGTTTTGGCCCAGCTCCAAGCATCCCTGAAGCCTAGTGGAGGTGGTTTTAATGCTTGCCTTAATCCTAGCCAGTGCAGACCAGCTCCCCTCCCTCTACCCCAGGCCTCCCCCGAGAGTATCCTCATGAGCGACACTGAAACTGCAGGTCATGCCTCTAGGATAGGGCTGGGAAGCAGGAGACGGGGTCAGCGTCTGCTTCTGAGCTATTGTATATTAAGGTTCACCTGTAAAGTGGGGGATACCAAGATGGCAAGCCAAGCCCAGCAGCTCATAGAGACGTGATGTCTGTGAAGTACATGACATGATAGGAGAGCCAGAGGGCATGTGGTCCAGTCCAGTGAGACCAAAGAATTCAAAAGAACTGGAGATTAGGTCTCAGCCATCCAGTGTCTCCCTGCCCTGAGCCCTCAGTGGCCCCTGTGCTCCCTCCCTCTCTCCCTCCTCTCTTTTAATATTTTTTTATTTATTGTATATGAGTGCTCTGCCTGCATGTATGCCTTTATGCCAGAAGAAGGCATCAGACCCCACTATAGATGGTTGTGAGCCACCATGTGGTTGCTGGGAATTGAACTCAGGACCTCTGGAAGAGCAACCGGTGCTCTTAACCACTAAGCCATCTCTCCAGCCCCTTCCCTCTCTTATCCGTGTTCCCTACACCTGTTAGGAAGCCCACCCAAGGTGTTTCTGATGCATTTCTCCTCTTTCCCTTCCTTCCTGCCTTCCTGCTCTTCTTGCTTCCCACAACAAAACAACAGACACCTAACCCAAACAACAGCCCAACTCTGCCCATCAGCACTCCTTCCCAGAACATTCTGAATGCTTCAGAGATGTTCTGCTGTGAAAACTCAATGCCCTGTTGCATCTGTGAGTCTGTCAAGCACTGTGAGAACTTGGATTCTGTCTGAAACAGTGAACGGCCCTGCTGGTGATGCCAGCTTCCCACACAGTTCAGAAAAGCGGGTGGCGAGGGCCCCAGTGATGGAGGAGGAAGAGCTGGATGGGATGATGGATGGAAGATGGACAGCTGATAGATGCAAAGATGGGTAGATGTATGGATATAATAGATGTTGGATGGATGGATGGGAGGAAGGAAGGGAGGAAGGGAGGGAGGGAGGGAGGAAGGGAGGGAGGGAAGGAGGGAGGGAGAGAAGGACAGCAAGCAGATAAATAGAAAGCTAGGTAGGCAAATGGATGGAAGAACCTGGGTTTTAAATCTGTACCTGCTATTAATTGCTGCGAAATCTTGGGCCAGCCACTTCCTCTTCTGTCTCTGTGTAAAACGAGAGCTCTGGCTTTACTAATCTCCATGACTTCTAGATTTGATTTTGAACAGTTGATGATGATGGAGGCTTTCGGGGGGAGCTAGTGATTGGAGAGCCTAAGGCAATGCAGAGACCTATGTGAAGTCAACAGCCAGTAGTTAGACTCCGAGAAGCTGGCTTGAGTCTGTGCCCTGGAGTGGCTTTGCTCTGACTTTCCTGCTAATGTCTCCTGCCTCAGCTTCTCTTCCAAGGACCAAAGGGAGAGTTCTAAGGAAAGGAAGGCAGTGAGTGGGTGGGAATCGGGAAGCTATTGACTTTACTGCCACAACCAACTTGAACCTCTTATCCAGGGTCATTCTCTCTCTCTCTCTCTCTCTCTCTCTCTCTCTCTCTCTCTCTCTCCTTTTTATCCTTCCCAGCTCTCTTGAGTCATGGCTTCCTCAAAGCTCCGAGAACCTGTGGATGAAGTTTTTGGTAAGTTCTGTGTGACTTTCTGTCTAGCGGTAGACCTAGCGATGGGGCCCTTCCTTCAAGTCTACTGAGCATGGCATGGGATAAGGGCAGATAGGGCACTTCAGGACATGGTGTGCAACTGATCTCACATGCAGGGTGTCCTTTGATTCTAAAATAATGTTAGTTGTACAGACAAGGGGTGTAGGATGCAGAGTGCTGATGTGACTTGCTTTAAAGATCACATGGAGGGGTTTGGGGATTTAGCTCAGTGGTAGAGCGCTTGCCTAGCAAGCACAAGGCCCTGGATTCAGTCCTCAGCTCCAAAAGAAAAGATCACATGGAGGCTAGTGAGATGGCTCCGCAGATAAAGGCCCTAGCTGTACAACCCGCCTTTGATTCCCATAACCCACATAAAGGGTGAAGGAGAGAATCGGCTCCACAAAAGTTATCCTCTGCCCTCCATGTGTACTATCACACACACACACACACACACACACACACACACACACACACACACACACACACTATAATAATAATTTTTAAAAAATAGCATCAAAGCATGAAGACTTGAGTTCAGTGCCAAACAGCCACATAAAAACGGAGTACAAGCCGGGCGTGGTGGCTCACGCCTTTAATCCCAGCACTTGGGAAGCAGAGGCAGGTGGATCTCTGTGAGTTTGAGGCCAGCCTGGTCTACATAGAGAGTTCCAGGACAGCCAGGGCTACACAGAGAGATCCTATCTCAACAACAACAGCAATAATAATGAAACTGACATAGCAGTGCACGCCTGTAATCCTGGTGCTGCGTCAGGAAGGCAGGAGTCCTGGGCTTGCTGGCCAGACAGTCTAACTGTGTGAGTTAGCTCTAGGTTCAGTGAGAGTCCCTGTCTCAAAAACTCAGATGGAGAGGGATTGAGGCCATCAACCTCTGGCTTCTATGCACACGTGCATATGCACTCACACACATATGCGCCCAGAGAATGAATGAAAAAAATAAATAAATCTCATGACAAGTTAGCAGCAGAATTGGGCTAAGAACCCCTGTCCTTAGTCACTGGGCTAAACCTCTGTCTACTCCAGTTCAGACAGTTCATACAGTTCATACATTTTCTCCAAGTCACATATATAAGTGCCTGAGATTCTCTCTCTCTCTCTCTCTCTCTCTCTCTCTCTCTCTCTCTCTCTCTCTCTCACACACACACACACACACACACACACACACACACACACACACACACGCACACGCAGGGCCTCCATGTCTCTGTCTGCCCATGCCTTCAGCGTCCACTGGTGTCCACATATACACTACCATTTAGAGAGGCAGAGCTGTCAGTTCTGTGGCTGTGTTGTGGACAAGCTGTCCTCCGCTAGATTTGAGTGGATGACTCCTGTGTGTAACTCCCAGGGGCTCCTTAACGTGGGGTGCCAGAGGGCTCCAGCTTCTCCTGCTTCCTCCCATCTCTGCCTTTCTTTCTTCTCTTCCTCCTTGCCGTCGCCACTGGCCCTGGTCATGCCAGTAGTGTTGTCTCAGTGCTTCTGGGAACACTGCTCCTTCCCAGCCCCCACCCCCCACCCCGCTTACACCCCCACCCCACCCCCCCCCCACCCCACCCCCGGCAGCATTTCTCCATCTCTGAGGCTGGCCCTACACAAGTCCAGCCTAACCTTGGCAGGTCCGCAGAGGTGAGCTTCCCTTAGTGAGGGGAGGGCTTTTCTGTCTCCTCTCTCCCCACCTCCCACCCCATGCTCCTCACCAATCCTTTCTTGTTTTTCTCCTGTCTGCTGAGGTAGCTGGGCACTGCCTGGAGTGCTTCCTCATAAGAAAACAATTAAATATTCATCACTCATCACTCCCACTGCCCAGAGCCCAGAGGGGGAGGCTGGGAAGGGAACAGATGGAAGGAGGGTTTGAGGGACCCTGGTGAGACTGGGCCCCACTTTGCTTTGTACCCCCCACGCCCTCGGGAGACCCTTTGCTCTCCAGACTATGGGTAATACCCATGTTGCCATGTGGAGCAAGGACCCATCACCCTGACGCAGATGGCTGGATACCAGCTGGGTGCAGGCCGTGGAGAGGAAGTCAGAGCACTGGCCCAAGGGCCAGGAGACCTGGACACTACCTTTACTCCCTCCACACAACTGACCAGACCTCTCTTGTCGGAGTTCAGTTTCTCCACCCTTAAAATGACGGTTTCGACACAATGTTGCCTCCTTCTCTGTTCAGAAATCGCACAGCTGATGTGTCTGATATTTCCAAACAAGCCAGCCTGCCTGTCTTTGACCCCAGCTAGCTCTTACCAGCTCTATGCTCTTGGGCAAATTAAGGCTGCCCTGGGGATCCCGAGTCTTTTCCTCTGAGATTGTAGGAGGTTTCAGTGACCGGTAATTGTGAAGCACTTGGAGCAGTGTGAGCTATTACCGGCTTCGGGCTGCTTCCAGGGAACCGGGATGCTCTTCATCAGGACCCAAATGAGTCACATCTGGATCCAAAAGAGCAGTCCTGACAGTAGCTGTCCCCTCTCAGCCCCTCACCACACCCCTGGACAAATGCCAGGGCCTCTCAGTCTACCGTCTTCAATCAGGCTGTTCCTTGACACCTCAAGCCCAGGGCTACACCATTCCCTCTCCTTAGAAAATCTCCTCTGGCCAGGCAGTGGTGCCGAACACCTTTAATCTCAGCACTCACAAGGCAGAGGGAGGCAGCAAAATCTCTGAGTTTGAGGCCAACCTGGTCTACAGAGCAAGTTCCAAATCAGCCAGAACTACACAGAGAAACCCCGTCTTGAAAAACCCCAAATCTCCTTATGGCCATCCAGGCCTCAGCCTGGCAACCAAATCTGAGGCAGTATCCCTGGTCGCTATTGTTTTCTTGTCCATTCAGGATAGTTCCTTAGGTGTCCCTTTTCTGTCTTTAAGAGAATATCCACTAGGCACCTGCTATGGGCCAGGTGCTGTCCAGTGCCTGTGGTACAGTCATAGACGGAAAGCTCTGTGCTTATGGAGCTGAAAGTCTCATAGGTGGAAAGAGGCAAGCTTAAATAAGAAAGGTATTCGGGATGCCAGAGAGTGATGTGTGATACAGGAAAAGACAGGTATGGCGCTCTGGAGTATATAGGGGAGGGTGTTATACATGCCAAGACTTTGAGGTGCAGACTGGGTGGAAGGAGCAGATGGAGGCAGAAGCACAGGGAGGTGAGGAACACAGACTGAGTCTCGAAGGCCGCCCCCAAGAGAACTTTGGCTCTGCCTCTGCCTGAGATGGTTCTGAGCAGGGGAGTGACAGAGCTGACACCCCACAGCATTAGGATCATTGGCTGATGTGCTGGAAAACACTAAACGTGACCGTGACCGGAGAGCAGGAGGCCAGGGAACGGCAGAGGTGTGAGAGGACAGGGACCTAGGCCTGGTGCTCCTTTCCCCGCCCCTCCCCTTCTTTCCCCCTCCTCCCCCCTCCTCTTTCTCACTCCTCTCTGTATGTGCACACGTATGCGTGTGTAAACTCACCGATAAACCTAAGAGCTTGGGCTGTAGAGTGGGCAGTTTAGAGTAGGTACAGGTCTTGTAGAGGACCCGAGTTCAGTTCTCGGCACCCACGGTCAGGCAGGTCACAGCAGCCTGTAACTCCAGTTCCAGAAGGATCCAGTTCCTTCTGAACTTTGGGGGTATCTGCATCCAAATGCAGATACCCCCCCACACACAAAGACAGCTAAATAATAGTTTAAAAAAATTAAAACCTCAGACATCCTCAGAAGTAGAGAAAGTAACACAATGCACCCTGCCATGTGCTCAAGTTCTGGTCCACCCACACCATGCTCACCCCCTGGCCAGGCTTGCCATTCTTCACCTCCATTACCCTGGATCGTTTTGACTCTCATTGAAAACAGTCTCAGGCTTCCCCTCTGTATTTCAACAGGACTAGCTATTTTGAGGGTGGAGCTAACAGGAATACAGTTAAACTAATTTGTTAGAAAGGGGGTAAGGTGGGGGGGGGAGGGGGGGAAGGAGAGTCAAAAAAGACCCAGGGTTTAGCTTGAGTAGCAGGAAGGATGGAGCCCACTGTTTACCAGCATAGGGAGACCAACCAGGAGGAGAGCCATGGGAGAAAAGAAAGGCTGTGAACTGAAGACCCTGCTGAATATCCAGCAGAGGAGACAAGGAGCAGCGTACATGTGGGAACAATGTCTAGGAGGGCTGAGGGAAGAAGGGTAGCTCAGGGCTGTCCGACTTGGATGACTGGGGTAGACCATTGATTGGCTTAGGAGGCAACAAGTCTGGTTAAGGCAATCCAATGAGTGTGTGTGTGTGTGTGTGTGTGTGTGTGTGTGTGTGTGTGTGTGTTAGACAGGGTTCTCTGTGTAGCACTGGCTGTTCTGAAACTAGCTCTGTAGACCAGGCTGGATTTGAACTCAGAGATCCGTCTGCCTCTGCCTCATGAGTGCTGGGATTAAAGGCAAAAGGGTGTGCTTTTATGGGTTATGTTTGGCTGAGGCACTGGGGTTGGGGGCTGGTTTGTGGGTTCCCTGGCAGGGGCTTCTGCGTTCAGGCCCGTTATTTAGTGGAGGAGTCAGGGCTGGGAATAGACCAAGCGGCCGTTAAGTAGGGGTACCTTTGGCATGTCTACAGATGAGAGAGGAGCAGGCAAGAAGAGTGAGAGTGAAGGATGGAGTGGGGGGCCCCAGAGATACTAAGCAAGGGGTGAACAGGAACCAACTGACCCATCCTGAAGCCCGGGAAGACCCCAGTACCAAGGTCAGGGCCGGAACAAGAGTGATGCTCCGTTACCAGGCAGGCAAACAAAACGTGAAAGTGTGGCCACGGAGTGCTTTCTGCACACCCCAGCAGGTGCCGACTCCCCCCAGCTTCTAGCAGGGTCTAGCACTGGACGGTAGAGTCCAGGACCCAAGAGACAAGCTGTAAGGGCCTATGGGAGCTTTGCTCCTGACACTGACGTTGGCGTGTGGGTGCCCCTCTTCCTCATGCTATCCTTAAATACAGTCCTGAGTGTGGCACAGCAAGAGCGTGTCCCCAGGAGGGTCCCTTTCTGGAGCCACACCCCCAGACCCCAGACTGTTACTAGCCAGTGGCTCCAGTCATCACTTACCTTCTTGGGTCCTAGTTGGCTCTGCTGTAAACGTATCCCAAATGCTGTAGCCTCCCCTCGCCAGGGAGCTCTGAGGAGGAGAGTGATGTGTGTGTGTGTGTGTGTGTGTGTGTGTGTGTGTGTGTGCGCGCGCGCGCGCGCATCCCACTGGGTGCATGGCAGATTCATCCCCCTGGTCCCCACAGAGCTACTTCCTGCCACCCAGAGGTGCCATCCCTACTCTCTACTTTCCACCCATGTCAATGCTTGCCCAACTCTCACCCAGACTTTAGGATCCAGGCGGGTGTGCCCCCCCCCCCCCCCCCCCCCCCCCCCGCCGCCGCTTCTGTGAGTGTCTGCACATAGCCCAGCCACGCCCACGGGGGGGGGCAGGCATGTTGTGCCATGTGCAGGCGCTAGCAGGTGGGGTTCCGAGACCTACTGTCCTGGTGGACCGCACTCCCAAGCAACCAGCTTAATGTCTGCGGTGTGAGTCAGGGTGGCCATCTGAGGTGGCTCTGGTCTCTGTTCGCAGACCTGGACTTGGCTGTACCAGAGACCACCAGACTGGACAGCAGCTTACACAAAGCCCGGGCCCAGCTGTTGGCCAAGGGCCGGAGACACCGACCTTCCCGCTCCAGGCTGCGTGATAGTGCCAGCTCTGCTGAGGACGGTGAAGGCTCTGATGGGCCCGGAGGCAAGGTTGGGGTAACACACACACACTCACCTCTTGCCCCCTGGATCACCACCACCCCCTTCCAGGGAAGTGCGCCCCCAGAGATCTGACAGTCATCCACCCCACGGTCAGCGAGCTGTTCACTTCTGGCTCCTGTACCTCTGTAGAAAAAGTGTTAGCCCATTTCACAGATGAAGAAGCGGAGAGCCGCAGGAATCGGGGAAATCCCGCCCGTTAGCAAATGAAGCAGGATGTCCTCACTTCATGTGATCACCCATTTCTCCCCTGTCACTGCTCAGGCACTCCTCATCCCCTGGCCCAAGGAACCCACCCTCCAGGCCCCAGGGAGTGAGGAGGGGGGGCGCTGGATGAGCGGCTGCCCTTCTTCTAGGTGACCGACGGCTGCGGTAGCCCCCTGCACCGGCTGCGCTCGCCTCTGCACTCGGGCCCCGGCTCCCCCGCCAGCGGCTCTTTCTGCCTGGAGCCCCCCGGCTTGAGGCGCAGCCTGGATGAGGACGAGCCGCCGCCCTCGCCCCTCGCCCGCTACCGGCCCCTGCACAACGCCGCCTCGCATGAGGGCCTTGCGGCCACCTCCGGCTCGCCCCCGCGCTCCGCACCCTCCTCGGACAGCTCCCCCAGCTTCGTGCGCCGCTATCCCCGAGCAGAGCCGCACAGCGAAGGTGAGCCCGGCAGGCGCGACGCCCCCTGCGGGCGAGCACGGGAACTGCAGCTTGGCCAGCCGGTATGGTGGCCACTTGGGAAGTGGAAGGATGGCCAGCAGGTTCCATTCTTCATTTACAGAAGCTTACCATATGACAGACATCTCTGGGACCAAACGGAGCAGTGACACAGTCCTTGGCCTCTGGGGACGTGTAGCTTAGGAAAGAAACAATCAAACCACCCCGTAATTAACATATAGTTACAAATGTAATAAAAGGTATGCCGGGAAACACACGCACAGTTGCTGAAGAGTCTCGCCTGACCTGAAAGGCTTCCCTGAGGAGGTGACGTTTGAGCCAAGATTGAAAGGCTAGTTAGAAGATGGCCAAGATAAAGTCAGTAGTATACCTAGCATGCAGGAAGCCCTGGTCACAGCACACCACATATGGTGATGTACTCCGGTAATTCCGGTACCCAGGAGATGAGGACAGGAAAATCAGGGGTCCAAGGCCACATAGGGAATTCCAGGCCAGCCTGGGTTTCATTGAGACCCTGTCTCAAAAACAAATGAAAACAAACATTCATAGCCCTGTTTTCTCAGTTATAAAGTGCTTTCACACTTTTGCTTTTTTGTTTTTTTGTTTTGTTTTCTTTTTCAAGACGGGGTTTCTCTGTGTAGTTTTGGTGCCTGTCCTTGATCTCGCTCTGTAGACCAGGCTGGCCTCGAACTCACAGAGATCCGCCTGGCTCTGCCTCCTGAGTGCTGGGATTAAAGTCGTTCGCCACCACTGCCCGGCTTGCTTTTACAGTTTGTAAAAGGCAAAAGCCTAGGCTCTATTAGATACTGTAAAATGGGCATGTCTCTATGTTTGAAATGAAGGGGAACTCAAAAACAGAGAGAGTGTCTGCTCCTGGGTCACACAGCTAGTGAAGAACCCCAGAGCCAGATGGTCTAATTCTAAGTCAAGAAATGTCTACCACCCCACATGGGCAGCAGCAGGAGGCAAGCAAACCACCGCTTTAGCTGTTTTCTTCCCCCTCTTCTAAAGATGACAGCCGGGATGCCAGCCCCCCTGAGCCTGCCAGCCCCACCATCGGCTTGGATAAGAAGACTCGCAGAAAGTTCCTGGACCTGGGGTGAGTGAGGGGCAGGTCTTGCATGGGTCCTTGGAGCTGTTGGGGTCTGAACATCACAGTGGGCAGGTATGCTCCATTCCCCTTGCCTCCTTACAGGGTCACTCTCCGCCGAGCATCCACCAGCAAGAGCCGGAAGGAGAAGGGTAGCAACCGCCTGTCCATGGGCAGCAGGTGAGAGGCACCCGCGGCACCCACCCACGGCTCCCATCCTCTCCTGGGACACCCACACCATGCTGAATGTTTTCTCCTCAGGGAGTCCGTAGAAGGTTCTGGAAGGACAGGGAGCTCCCCGTTCCTGCCCTTTTCCTGGTTCACAGACAGTGGCAAAGGCTCTGCTTCCTCAGGGAGCACCACCTCCCCGGCCTGTTCCCCCCAAACATGAGGGCTTCAGCCCCAAGAAATCAGCTTCCCAGGTAAGCCCGGGTCTTTGCTCCTTTCTTCTTCTCCTTCCCTCTTATCATCCGACTCTCCTTTCCATCTGTCTTTTTGCCCCCTGAGGCTAGTTTTACTCTGTAGCCCAGGCTGGCCTAGGGCTACAAGAGTGTGCCATGCTTGCCAGTGGAACCCCAAGACTTTCTTGTCCCACACTGGCTTCCAGCCTTAAGACAAGGACATACTTCATCTGGGCTTGGACTGGGACCTAGGTTTTTCTGGGACCCATCCTGTCCCTCCACAGAGTCACCTAGTGACTCATGACTTCCATATTCTCTGGCTTCATTCATTCATTCATTGGCTCGTGCATTCGTACCCATTCACACTGCTTCCTCCACTCGGCACTGGTGTGGGCGCACCGAGTCCCTGCTGCTCACTCTGAGGCCCCCTTGTTTCGTACTCTTCTGCCTGAGTCAGGCCCGAACTACACCATCAAGAGCTGGCCACCTGCATGGTGGGACCTTTTTAGAGACAGAGAGATGAGCAGGTCCCCCACCTAGTGCTCTGAAAGCTTCAGACCCCAGGAAACGAGAACCATCCACACAAGCAACACTAATGTCTCCATACGCTCACAGGCGGCTAGACTTCACGAAGCCCAGGACTCATGCGTGGCTTTCACTGTGATGTAGGCAAGGCAGGCATTATTACCTGCACCGTACATAAGCAAATGAGGCCCAGAGAAAAGGGGCTTGCTCCCAGATGTGCACAGATGTGTGGTGCCAGGACTTAGGAGAACCATAAATCTCGGGGTTCAGGGGGAGACCCTTCTGATGTACAACTCTGTCCTTTGACCACCGGGCAGCCTTCCTCAGTCCCTCCCTTCTTTCCTTTGTGCTGGTCCCAGGGGACACCCTGCTGAGTGAGACACGGCCCAAGTCCTCACAGAGATGGGAGGCCAATGAGGGTACCCACCAGCCGGGATGCAAGAGGCCTAGGAGAGGGGTTCCATGTAACAGGGACACGTGACCCAGTCTTGGGGAAATCCTGGTGGGCCACCTGAAGGCAGCAGCAGCACCTAGCCTCCTCCACTCCTGTTAGTCCTTCTGCTCGACTCAATGTTAGCGCCAGCTCCTCTGGATAGCCAGCTCCCTCCTAGAGGGCTCAGGTCCTGGTGTGTCCCTTGAGTCATCACAGCCTGTGTCTGGGTTCACGGTCAGGAGCACGGAACTACTGCTGGTGTCTAGTCCAGTATTTCAGGTCCATCTGGTCAAGGTGATGGGCTGGGGGGGGCGGGTAGCTGAACTTGCCCCTCAGCACACATCCCTTTCTGTCCAGGAATCCACCCTGAGTGATGACTCCACCCCTCCCAGCAGCAGCCCCAAGATCCCCAGTGGTCCTCGACAGGAGTCCAAGTGCTCCTATCCCTACCACACGCTGTCCCAGTCTTCGGATGAGGTGAGCCAGGCTAGCCTTCGGACCTGCTGGGGACCTGGCCACAGGCCGGGCTCCCTTGACTCTCCCCGTCTCTACCGCAGTTCCTGGACGAGTCCCTCCCCACCATACAACACTGGACCAGCCAGCAGGTGGGCCAGTGGCTGCGCAGCCTCAACCTGGAACAGTATACTGCCGAGTTTGCTGCCCGACAGGTGGATGGGCCGCAGCTCCTGCAGCTGGATGGGAGCAGACTGAAGGTTGGTCAGGGTGCGAGATACGCCAGATTGAGGTGGCCTTCCAAGATAAGGACCCGCTTTGTCCTGACTTTTGGCCCTGACTTGTCTTCTGAACTGACCTGGGATTTCCTCTCCCTGTCTAGCCGCCGCCGGCCTGGCTTCTGACCTCGATGCAGGGGTCTGACCTAATCTTTGCAGTGTAGTGTGACTCCCCAGTCTGAGTTGAAACTCAAGTCCACCACTTCCATTTGACCTAGCTCCAGCCCGGGTGTTGCTGACCTTGCCCTTTGGACTACCGTCCAATGTTGGGAAGCCAGGCCTCTTTCCTGGCCAGCTCCGCGCCACATTCAGTCTCAGAGCCTGATGCTAGGGGTGTGCTAAGGGGATAGTGTAGAGAGGTAGCTTCCAACGCCTGTAGGTTCCTGGGTTTGAAGGACAACCCCACAGGAAATCTTGAAATGGGGAGAGACCTTGCCGCCTAGCAGTGTGACCATGAGCAAATCGCTCTCCATCCTGAGGACCTCGGGAGGTTGGGCAGGGTCATGGCACCTAGGTTGAGGATCTGGAGCCAAGGATGGGGCACAGATGGCTTAGTGCCAGTGGTCATCTCTATGATCACTTGCAACCCAGTCCTCTTCCCTTGAGGCCCAGTCCCTAGGCAGAGGCCCTTCTTCAGAGCAGACTCCGGAGGTCTGCGGGGGGAGTACGTGGGAGGGGTGTTCTGGGCCTCTTCCCTTCATTCTGGGTTTCTTCCCAGAGCCTGGGGCTTAGCAACTCGCATGACCGGGCGCTGGTGAAGCGGAAGTTGAAGGAGCTGGCAGCGGCTGCTGAGAAGGAACGGAAGGCGCAAGAGAAGACCGCCCGGCAGCGTGAGAAGCTGCGGCGCCGTGAGCATGAGGCCAAGAAGAGCTAGGGACGGCTGGCGGGGCTGGCACCCCGGCGCACTTGCAGCCACCTGCATGGGCCTCACCAGGGAAGTAGGGTCTAGGCACCAGGTTCTTGGGGTACAGGACCCCTCTCACCCTGTTTGGACCGAGTCCTCTGGAGGGAGATCCCAGGGAGAGGGCCCAGGAATAAACCCAATTTCGAGGACTTGTTTGGCACAGATTTCCAGGGGGAAGCAGGTGGCAGATGAAGAGGGCAGAGGCCAGGAACGCAGCAAATCTGGAGCCCGGAGGAGCCCGGTTCAGGCTGAACCTCTTCCCTCTGGCTAGAGTGGTACCGAACAGGAAGTGAGCTCTCGAGAGAAGCCCTACATGACCAGGATTCCTAGGCTCAGAGAGCAGCCTGGGCATCCCGACGGGAGACAGAGCTGTGTCTCCTCAGCTCTTGAAGGTGGCTGTGTGGTGGGAGAGCAGCTCTCCCCAGAGAGGCCAGTGGGCACTGCAGTAGTGTCACTCAGGGTAGATCCCCAGACACCTCCTCCAAGTGGAGAAGAGGGAGCAGTGCGGGGGTGGGGTGGGGTAAGCTGGCCTCTGTGAGGACTGCAGAAGGGGGGCAGTGGGCTCTTCCTCTTTCCCCTTCACTACCCTGCAGGATCCAGCGGGCAGGATGGCACTGCTCCTCTCCACTGGGTCAGGAGTGGGTCCTTGACCCCTTCACAGAGCTAGAATCCACTTCCTCAGAGAGTGCTTGGGCTTGGGCCTTCTCTGGGGGCAGGATAAATGGGAGCTGCTGGGGACCTGGGACATTTCCCCCGACTAGTGCCTATGTGGCACTGAACTGGTGACTCACCCCAGCCGGGCAGAGGCACAATCTGAGGGTGGCCTGGAAGCTGCTGGATCAGAAAGGTCCATCAGCTCCCCAGGTGCCCCGGGGTGTGTCAGGGCCTCAGTGGGCCAAGAGCAGACAAACGTTGCTGGCTCAGGTTTGCGAGGCTACAGGGAGGCCTGGGCCAGCCCTGGGTGGGTCTGGCACATGTCCTGTGAAGGCTATGTTCAGAGGTAGAGGGTCCAGTTGCCATGCTGACCCAGCTTCTCAGGTGCTGGTCGGTTGCTACTGGGCCCAGGAGGTTTCTGAGGACAAACTCCCATCCCTCCCAGCTTCCTGGAGGGGTGGACAGGACCTGCATGCTAACTCCCTCTCTCCTGCCTGGGGAAGCGGCTGAAGGCCAGGGCCCTGTGCTTGGGCTGAGCCATCTGTACTGGGAGAGGGGCCTCAGAGGGAAACTAAGGTATAGGGGCATTGGCACTATCTAGACTGGGTGGGGAGGGTGGAGGCCCTACTGCCCCTAAAGCTGTCAGGGGCCAAGTGTGCCCCACCTGCATGTGAAGGGGAAGATGGTTCTCAACTTCTTTCAATAAATATTTACCATACACCAATGATCTTTCTGTCTGGGACGAGTGACTAAGCTATGCCTTGAGTACCACTGGGCGATGGGCTGCCAGGTGTTCTGAGGGGATGGCCTTGCCTTGTGGTGTACTCAGGTTACCAGCTAGGCCAGGTCTTGGGTACAGGTGATCCTAGAGGACCAGTCTTCACAGGTGTGCATGTGTGGACTCCCCCTCCCCCAGCAAGGCAGCCAGGCACCAGTCTCATTTCATCTATTTACTGTGGATGTCACTGTCACCGTCCCAGCCACTGGGAGGGGCACACAGCTTTAACCCCTGTGTGCGGAGGGGGAGGGGGAGACATTTGAGATTACAAAACTGACTATGTACATGGGGTGTCCTGGGGATGAGTCACCTGCGCACACATGGTGGGCACAGGGGGGTGGGGTCTAAAGCTCAGGCAGGACAGGGTGGGTGTACACTGGGCAGGGGAGGTGTGCATGTGAGGACATGCTGGGCAAGGGTTTAGGAAGCATCACAAACATTGCCAAGATCGCCTTGGAATCCTGGTGGGGCGGGGTTACCTCTGGGCTTTCTCAGGTGCCCCCACTTTAGAAGTGGGCCTTGGATGAGAGCCACTACCCACTCTCAAGTTCCCAGCTGCAACCTTAATGCCCAGAGTAGCGATAGAGAAGCCGTAGGAATAGGGTCAAGGGTGCACCCCCGCCCCTCCATCATCTCTCCAGACCTGAGGGCACTCCACCCTTCTTAACATTGACAAAGAACACAGCCCAGTATACCTGTACAGGGTGTGGGGCTAAGGCAAGCAGGGCACTTGGAAGGCCAGGACTATGCAGGCAGTGAAGGGGACCCAGGGTCTGTGGTAGAAAACGGACAACTCTGGTCTTGGGAGAACTGCCGTGGAGAAGTGTCTCTGGGGCACCCCATCAGGTAGAGCCATCTACAACCCTCAAGCATCACCTTGGAGACCAGACTCCAGGGAAACCCCCGAGGCGTCTCCATAGAGACAGATTGGCACTTAGGGACCACCACAGATGGGTCACTGAGATGTCTACAAAGACAGACCTGGCCATTAGGGAGACCCAGCTTCACCCTCTGTACCCCAGGGGATAGGGAAGGTCCCTGTGGTGGCTGGATTCAGAGGTGGCAGCATCCTCCCAGGTGCCAGGGAGAGAAGGCCCCTAGCTGACCCGATACGTCGATGTGTTCTTGGGCTCTGTGCTGGGCACACACCAGTCACCGGCCTCCTGGATGGTCTGATAGTGGCGCCAGGCAGACTTGTTGTAGACAGGCAGGCGCTCCACTGAGTCCGTGGACAGGGCCTAGGGAGAATTGCCATCAGCCTCCTGATTCCTCCTCACTCCTCAGCACACTACCCTTTCCCACCTGGGCCCTGATGATCTCTCCCCCTGGCATCCTAACCCATGTCTAAGTCAGCCCCATAACCAGACACTAGCTGAGACACGACCCCAGACCCAGAAAAGCCCTTAAAAGGGTCTGAACCTTCTGTATCTTGCTCTGGTCCATTCCAGAAAGCTGTTCCCTCAAAGGTCATGGAGGTAAAAAGGAGAGAGGGAGGAGGCTGGGCTGTGTGGTCTCTATCAATTACCAGGGCACATTGCCTCTCAGTGGAAGGCCAAGATCTGTAAGGCCCCCTTTCTTCCAAGCCTGAGTCCTCTGAAAAGGGGCTCTACTCACAGACCCTGGAACCCCTGAAATTCCCTACCACGTTAGTTTAAAGTTACAGTGCTTGAGCCAAGGCCCAGCTCTGAGTCTGGAGGCAGGATGAGGGCTAGGTAGAAACCTGCTAGCAGCAAACTTGCTCCCCGCGGGCCTCACCTTGAGATAGATGACAGCATCTGTCCCAAAGCCCTCCATAGAGAAGAGCTGCAAGTCCCCTTGGAAGTACTTGGCGTAGAGACGGGAAATGGGGAGTCCATATCCAAAGCCAGCCTGCAGATAAGCCACAGGTCAGAAAGGGAGCTGGGGATGCCTGGCTAGGGACAGGCAGGGGTGATGGAGCAGGGGTGGGGAAGGGTCACTTCTGGAGCAGATGGGAGTCGGTGGCAGGCAGGGGAATTGGAGAGGAAGCAGAGAGGGAAGCTGGACAGGAGAGCTCTACCCGGAGGCCGGGGTGGTCGCGAGCACCTTGGAGCCCATTCCCTAAGCCCAGCGCTGCCTATCCACGGGAGGTGGGACAGAGGTGCTGGTGAAGCAATAAAGCGAAGAAAGGGAAGAGAGAGCACTGAGGAAAAGTAACAGATAGGCGACGGGCCGATGGTCAGCAGGCAGGGGGCTTTCAGCTAGCAGCGGAGAGATGGGAGGACCAGATTCAGGACAGGAGACCCGTCACCGCCCCGCCATGGGGAAGGTGGAGTATGCTTGGAAGTTAAGGAAGCAGGAGCCAGGGGGACTGGAGGAAGCCATCTCACCAGCGGGGTACCCCCAGTGCCAGGCTGGGGTGTGGGGGCTGTGGAGTACATGTAGCTGAAGAGCCTCTCAATCTTCCTCAAGGGGACACCCCCACCTCGGTCACTCATCTAGGAGACAAGGGACCAGTGAGATACCCTCCAGGGTTATCGTCTCTACTCCTCACCCTCATCCCTGTGACCTCCCCAGGTCAAGTCAAGGGTCACATACTTTGATGGACAGATCTTCTTCACCCAAGGCCACCATAATCTTGATAGGGGGGAGAGTGAGGCTGGACTCGTGGCTTTCCACAGTGGCCCGCATGGCATTCTGGGGAGGGGATGGAGGACACAGTGAGGGACGCGCCACCAAAGCTGAGGGCCAAGGGCCGACCCTCCCCGCCTCCCCTGAGAAGGGCAGCCTTCTTACCTTGAAGAGCTCGAAGAGCATGTGGTAGAGGTGGGAAGGGACGTAGACCATGTGAATGGGCTGGTTGGTGTTGGTTGCTGTGGGAATCAAGACCACGGAGAGGAGCACAGCGCAAGGTAACCCTCCACAATCTTATCTACAGTGTGACCCTGCGGCCCTCCTTCCTGCAGAGCAGACCTCCCTCCCTCTCCCCACAGCTGTAACAAACATGTGGCTGTGTCCCTTCCAAGCTGCCGTAGCTAGCAACCCTTGGAAGGTACAAGTTCAGTCCTGCTTTGCCCAGCTTCCTGGGAGGGGGTTCTGGCTCCAACCACTCCACCTGGGGCTGGCCACCCAGGCATCTCTTAATTAAGCCATTGTGTTCCGGGGAGGTATCCCAATCACACATCACTCTCCCTGGCCTTTGTCCTCTGACCCCACATCATGTCCTTGTTCACTTACAAGGACAATGACATCAGCCTGTCAGTTACAAGGCTTTGAAATTAGCTGCTGTATTTACATGTTCAGTGGTTAACTGTCACAGGTCCCAACCTCCCCAGCACCAAGAATGTAAGCTCTGTGAGAGCAAGAGCCTGCCTGCCTTCTTTACATGCTGCATGTGCCGAGTAATAAGCAGTTATCCAACAAATTAGTAACACAGAACAGCTCCCCTCTAGGGGAACCTGATCCTCCACCCAGCTTGCCTAACACACATGCACACACACACGCGCACGCGCACATGCACGCACACACGCACAGAGCCTCATTTGCTTACCATTAACTTCCTGGATCTCTAGGTCAGGTGAAGCCATATAATACTTGTCGCACAGGAGCTTGGCCATGTCATAGGCATCTGAGAGGAGAGGGAACCACTCAGGTTATGGGTGGCTGACGCAGCATGCACGAACATTGGGCATCACCAACAAGAAACCCATGGGGACATGCCCCTCCCCCCCCCCACACTGGGAATGGGTCACCCTCTGGCCAGGTAATCTGGGAGGGGTCCCTGGAGCTCCTTTGTGGGCCGGACCTATGGGGGGGCTCACCTTTCACCACATCAGACACGCTGCAGTTGGGGTCGATGCTGCCAATGTGTTTGGGGTGAGCTGGGTTGGTACCCCCATCAAAGATGAGGGCTGTAGGCAGAGGGAAGGAAGGGCGTTGCTGGCTAGTTCACGGGGCCTAGGCCTCTGTCTCCCTAAACATCCCACCCTGCACCTCATTTGTAAGTGCTCTGTAGGCCTGTGCTAGCCATGCCCCCCAAGTCCTGTCTTCTCCCCAGGTCAGGCCTTCCAGAGCCTCTGCGCCCTGCAGCAGCCCTCCCAAAGGCTTCTCCCACAGCACACCCTGTTAAGTGTACTTTTTTTTCTTTTTGACAGAGTTTCTCTGTGTAGTCCTGGCTATCCTGGAACTCGCTATATAGACCAGGCTGGCCTCAAACTCAGAGATCCACCTACCTCTGCCTCCCAAGCGCTGGGGATTAAAGGCATGTGCAGCACCAATGCCTGGCTTATTTTTATTTATTTAAGTTTTTTTTTGAGACAAAGTCTCACGATGTAGCTAAGTTTGGCCTCAAACATGTGATCCTCCAGTCTCAGCCTCCCAGGTTCTAGGATCAAAGGCATGTGCTACCACACCTGACTTAAACCAGTAACTCTTCAGTTCCTGAATGGTACTTAGGCCTCTGGGCATAGTGGCTGAAGTGGGGGGCCCCCTACTTTCCTGTCAGGGGTGGTGCCCCTCCGTGGCATGCCCTGCCCGCACCCCTTGCCCTCTCCGAGGCCTCCAGAGCTCACTGTGTTGGTTGATGAGCATGCGGATGGAGATGCGGCTGAGGTAGAAGCGGTCCAAGAAGTACTGAATGTTCTGGTTGGAGACCGGGTCATCGCCATAAGTGTCCTTATACTCCAGCACTCCCTGCGCCATGGTGGGCACCACGTCATTGTGCCGGTTCCGGATGGTGACCAGGGCATCGGTGAACCTTCCGAGAAGGCAGACATTTGCCCCTATCCAGTCTCAGGCTTGGGGGCACCCCCGGCTCTCCTTTATTCTCAACTTCCTTTCACTTTCTTCACTTTCTCTATCCTTCCCAGCCCCACGGAGGCACAGTGCTCGCCCGCCTCAAGCCCATCCTCATTCTCCCAGCTGCCCATCCATCTTCCTGCTCACACCTAAAGCTCTTAGTTCCTCTGAAGGTCTGTTCCTGAGGGCAGGGT